GATCATTTGTTAAATATGACAATAGCCAAATTAGATATCAAATACATCAATAAAAATCAAATGCAATCCCTTCTTATGGACACAGTTCTTAAACATACACACAGAAACACCTTTTGTTTAATCAAGCACACATCCTAAAGCCTCTAACTGTTCATATATCATTTATAGTATTTACACTTTAATTCTAACATCCTACACTCGATTTAAAATCAAATCCAAAATCAAGGACCTAAACACTTGCTTTTCAACATTACACGTTTATTCAAGAACAAATGTTGATATTTCATAAAACACTGTGGCACAGGATTGCCTGACAGGATAGTAATATATTCTTATATTCAGACACAAACATTTTATTCAAAATATGATCCTTTTAAAAGACCTAGTTGGAGTAAAAAATTAACACTCATAAAACTTTGAATGGTTCATGACTCGAGATAAAAAAAAAAAACTAAAAATATATATATTCTAATTGAAACTGGGTGAAAATTGCTGTCTTCTAGTTCAGGGGTGCCCAAAGTGGGGCCCGCGGACCAAAGTTGGCCTGCCAAGTTGTTTCAGTTGGCCTGCCAAGCTGTCTCATTACTTTATTAAAATTTCCTTTGAAGAATCAATGACTCATTGACTCCACTCATTAACTTCATTGTTAGTCGGCCTAACTACCATAATTTAACTACACGGATTACACAGTAGAGTAGAAAATTTATGTTTTTTTTATTAAATAATTTTGTAGTGAACTTAATCTGGTGTCACGACTAAGCCTAAGGTCAAAACCCTTGACCTTAAGAACCTTGTGGGACAGGAACTGTCATTTTATTGATTTGAATCCAGAAATACAGGTTCACCCATCCTGAGACTTTCTTTCTTGAAGATTCAAGTGAAAAGAACACTCTCTTTTATTATCATTACTATTTTACAAATGTTGATAATCAAAGTGTCTTAGTTCAAACCATTTTAGATGTTGCAGTGAACTAATCAATTTTATTAACTGTGTAATGATTTTTATTCTCATGCAAAGTTAGAACTCATGTCAAAGCTGTTACAGAGTAATTATGCCTTTTCTGATTTCTGCTTTTGAATGAGCAAGTGTAAGTTGGTCCAAGGTTGGAGTCAAACGCAAAACAAGTTGTTGGAACGAACTGTCATGTTTTTAGAATCCTCTCAGACGTAAATATAGAGGTTTGGCACCTGTTTCTAAACTCGCCAAAACAAAACTCTCTCTGTCTGTGAGAACATTTCTGATCTGTTTCATAACAATTCTTGCTGTCTTCTAACCTCTTACGTCACAAAACACACCCCGTCTGGTTGTTTCTGACCAATGGGAATACTCCCAAAAGTGAACCGGGAGAGAGATCTTAAAAATGTCGGAACTTCCTGGTCTACTGAGTTCTGGGACAGTTCTGTTAGAAGTTCTGGGATGGTGCTGGAACGGTTCTGGGACAGTTCTGTGCAGTTCTGATGGAGTGCTGTTGGAGTTCTGCTGGAGACACAGCTCAACCAGTTCTGTGAGAGAAGCCCAGTTCTGGGAGACGGGAAGATCCTGACATGACAACAGAGCTCTTCCGAGTCATGGGAATATAACACTTTCCACTCGCCACTACTTCTGACGAGCTACAGCCATCCGAAGGAGACGCTGGACAGGTAGCGTTAACGGAACTCCATATCTGCTGATTAATCTCAGAAAGGTAATGAGTCAAGTTTCCTACCAAGCGTACCGAGGTGAGCTGGGTTCTGATGGAGAGTGTCGGTTCTGGTGAACACTTCCCCTCACATACCATCTTTACTCCCTTTAACTTCTTTCCCTTTAAACTTTCCTCTCAAGTAGAAATTCTTCCAGATATTTAGAAATGTCTGTGTAAAGTGCTCATCCACATCCGTGTGGGTAAAAGATCATAATTGTACAGTTTCATAAATGTCTGTGGTGAAGCAACGGAAAAATCATGGCCGTATGATTTTTCTTGATTGATTGCTTATGTTGTTATTTTCATAATTTGCCAAATTAATGTAAATGTTTGATGTTAAACTTTGATTCTGTAAATAAATGACCGCATTCATTTTGATGGGTCAAATATAAATGACGTCTCACGTTTGCATTTCATTAAATTCAATGCACGTTTTATTCAGTTCAGAAAAATGAGGAATCCGCGTTAATTGATGAATATATCTGAGCATCTGTTCATCTACAATTTTAATTTATATTTTTATATTTCGACAGACTTTCTATAATCCCTCGGCAGTTTCTTGCCATGGAATAACATTTTCCTTTGACAGAACACACTTATAAATCACAAAGTGTTTAAAAGTAAATTGTAAATATGAACTGGTTTCAGTGGTGATTTGAGCCTCTTTAAATCTAAACTCAGCACCCATGAAAAATAAAGAAATCATTAGGATTGTGTCAGGAAACAGTTCTCAAACCTTAGATTCACCAAAATATTGAATAAATATGAAATAAATGAGAACAGTCTCAAACGAGCCAATAAAATCTATGATTTTTTTTTTTGCACAAGTCCCACCACCTGTCAATCAATCCAGTAGGCACGTCAGCAACTGACCAATCAGCAACCTCGATTTGTCCTGAAGTGAACGCCTCTTTACCTGCAGAGCTGCAGTGGTGTTGCATTACGAACGCTTTGAGAGATTTCAAGAATAACAGTTCACATCTTTTGTTTCATGTTAATCTACTGTAATAATAATAATGATACACCAGAATGCAGGAAATGGCATCTACTTTAATCAAAATCTCTGGGGGCGGACCCCCCCCCCCCACACGCAGCCTTTCTGTGATGGTTTTTATATACAGAATGGAAGGATAAGTAATAATGAATCTAGCTGTTTGTTACTTTTTTGCCATCTTATTTGTAAAAAAAATTGTATGCCTTTTTTGTGGCTGTCTATTGTTGTCGCTGTTGTCCATTGTTTTTATCACTCTTTGTTGAAATCAGGTCTCTCTTGTAAATGAGTCCTCGAGGCTCAATGGGATTTACCCGTCTAAATAAAGGTTGAATGAAAATAAATAACTGTAATAAATAAATGGACTTTAAAGAAGTATTTGCATTTCATGTATTACTGCATTTGGCCCGTAGCCCTCTGATAGATTTTAAATTTGGTCCTTTCAGGGAAAAAGTTTGGGTGGGCACCCCTGTTCTAGTTATTTCGCTACCTAAACAGTTTAATGTAAGGCAAGGTTAGGATTCTTCTTCAAGGCACAATGCACTTGTTTACTCTATGAATTATTATAAACGTGTAATAAATGGAGAATCTAACATCTGACACTTCAGTGCACAATTAAGCTGTCAAGGTGTAAATCAATCTTAACGTTTCCTTGAAATCCAATTGAGAGGGTGTCGGCACGTTGTAGTAGTGGACGTTGAGGACAAATACATTTTGTTATAGCATATACCCTGTACATATTTTGTCTAGTTTGAAAAAAAGGGTTATGCTCAAGTTTTAATGATGGGTAAGACAACCACGTGTGCTTGTTTACCTACAGAAACAACTAAAGTGACAAAGAACGGGTGAACAATGGCGACGTCTACGGAAGGTCGTTTGGGATTGAGACGTTTTAAATTTTTTTATATATTGGTATGCTTCGATTTGTTAAGCCAATAAAAGTGCACTGTTTACATTAAGTGCATACCTGGATTTCAGTACTGCATACCAAGATATCTGAAAAGCAACTGGAGCTTTCAAACAGCACCATTTGATGAGAGTACAGCATAACCTTTAACAGTACATTAATAAGATCTAAAATTATTTGCAGAGTTAAAAGCAAAGGCACCTAAGTGAACAAGGCTTTGCAACTAGGTAACTGGCTTTTAATTCAAGGATAAACAAAAAAAATGGAGTAAACCCAATCCTCTATGGAGCAAAACAACCTCAACTTTCCGGTAAACTGGGAGCAATGCGATCCCCCCCCCATCTGGCTCTCACTTGTTTAACAACAAAGCCTATGCCTACGTGTTTCCCTGCTGGAGGGGGTGGGGATGGCTGAGCGATGGAGGTTGTTGATGTGCGATGTTGACCTCAACATTTTATTTTAAACGCTATCCGTCTTCGCTCCACTGATAAACCCATCTCCATTCATCACGACGCAAAGTTTACACGTGATGGACGTATCACCTTAAAGTCCGGGTACATTTCCAGAGAATGGAGGTGGAGGGGGGGGGGGGGGGGGGGGGGAGGATAAATCATCGAGAGGTAAAGTTAAAATTAAGCATTTACAGTGCAATAAAGTAAGTTTATTATGACGCAGCACTGAGCGTCTGTGGACGCCTTTGCCTTGATAACGGAGATAAGCCGACTTGTATCCTAACAAGCTTCGTTTCTGGTAACAAAATGGGACTTAATCGAGCAAACAATGCCTGAACAGCATCTGCGTCCCTATGGCTACCCCAAGCCAGATGGCCTGCAAGACAATAAACTCAAACCACACGCCATGAACTTCACTTTACCTCACAAAAGAAGAAGAAAATAGTTGGAACACACTTGAAACAACATATAAATGTATATACACTGTTAAAATAAAAAAAACACCACGTTCAAATTTACATTATAAGTAGCTTTTGAAACTTTTCTAAGCTCCTTCCTATGTGATAGCTTGGGCAGCACTCCAGTGTAAACATGAGCTAATAAAAACAAACGAGTGACACACATGGTTCATTTGGACCCAAAGTTACTCAAGAGCATATTTTCACGAATATCATGCGAGTTGAGACGCAAATAGGTCAGATAAATTGCGTTACACGCGCTTTATTTAGCGTAAGCCCGTTAATTTAGCTACTTACAACTAGCATTTAAAGCTAGCTTTTTTAGCCTAACTGACGAACTCGTTACCTAACAGGATAACGTCCGAGAAGTTCAGAGAACACCGCTAAGCGGGTTAACCCAAACGACTGTACCATACGATCACACACAGCAAAACAATGACACAAACAACTCTTCATTTCCGTGGTTAAAGGCATCGGAGTAGCTACAAAGATTTAAAGTTGAACAGTTACCTCTATTTCAAAGTCTGGGAGCTTGAACGCTGTCCTGAACAGCGAGCAGAAGTGGGCTATGGCGGGGACTTCCCACCAAGACTGGATCTCTTCCACTGTACATCCCTGGGACATTTTCGGGCACGTAAAAGTGTACGAGGTTTATTTCTCACATTAGAAAGTAGTTTCTGCTGCGACTTATGGTGCCTCCGTAACATTACAGATAAGAAAAAAGTTGTCGCTCCTGTCGTTTCGGGGTGGTTGCCATCGCGATCCAGGGAAGCGCTACGATCTGTTTCAATCAGTGTCTCACCGAGGATGAACAGACGCGAAGGGCAATACCAAGTCATCAAGAAAAGAGGGGAGTACAAGTTAATTATATTAAACTGTATTTCAGAAAAAAAATAAAGATATTATTTTTACAGTTTTGTGAAACAGTTTAAAGTTGAATAGAATTATATATATTTGAACATCTTTGTTATTGATTACCTTTTCTTTACTGTATTAAAGACAACAGTAAATATCACCCCTCTCTTTTAATTTGATAATGCGCTCGCCGTTTAAATGGAATCATAGTAAACAGTGAATGACTAAAAAGCTGAGCCAGGTATGACACAGGTAGCTTGTGCTTTGGATATGATTTTGTATAAATATATAATTTTGTGTGTGCAAAGATAGAACTTTACAAATTATTATTTGGCAAACTTCATTTTCTTATTATGGTTGTCAACTTCTAACAAACCATTTATTTTATTTATATCCAAAAACCATTTAAGCAATACTGAACTGTCGCCCAGACTAGCAATTAAGAATATGGTTCACTGACTTTACAAGCAGAGTGATAGTTTGTAAACAATCCAGACCGAAAGTGAAATCGTATATTTTGCACAAGGACTCCCCCTGCTGTAAAATCTGAAAAGCTTCATTGTGACACTAACCTATAATGACAAGTATCTATACTTATTAGTATCAAATTTGCTAATTTCTGTTTATCTATATCTATCTATCTATCTATCTATCTATCTATCTATCTATCTATCTATCTATCTATCTATCTAT